ACATAATCTACATAAGAGGTTAACCAACCGGTTATGCTGTATGGGATCTCAAACACCAAAGTGAGTGCGAGTGTCATAATTTCAAGTTCACATTTCTTGTTGCTTATAAGGAAAAATATTATTTATTAAAATTAACTGGGTTCTAAATCGCTTTTATATGTTTCGATCTCTCTCTCTGTTATACTTTTGGTATAACATATATATGTATATATAAGCAACAGGACTCATTTTTGCTCAGAGCCCATTACTATTGTTACTAATGCATTAACTGTACACAGGGAGTGTACAGGGAGTGACGCAGGGTGAGACGCAGGTGGACAACGAGGGCAGGGAGTGACGCAGGGAGTCAGGGAGTGACGTACACACATTAGGGAGAAGTTGGTTATTTATAACACAAACAGTATTTCCTAAATCTAAATAATTTTAAAGAATTCATAAGATTTATTGGTCACCGAAATAGAACTCTTAAAAATCACCTTGACGGACTTTGTTCTTTCTCTGTAAAATTTGTAATATCCAAATATAATATCTATAAATAATAATCACATGGGCATGCGAGATAACTTTTTAGAAGATTATGGACCATTCGGACACTCGCTCTAGAAAAGGCTCACCATCCTTCTCCTTGGCCAATGAGAGGCCACGAAGCTGGCTCTCACCGATGCCGGAACATTGGGTTACCTGTTGATTGGTTGCTTCAAGCAACCTGCAACCAATCATGTTCCCTTTACTCATCTTTGACCCAACGTCCTTGCTTCTCTCCCTCTTGGCGCCAAAATATAATTTCATGTAGCGGCGCTTCAACCGCCGTCTTCGGAAAATGTTCACCACGCCTACTACCCCCCCCCACTAGGCCTACTACCCCCTCCCTCTAGGCCTACTACCCCCCACCAACTAGGCCTACTAACCCCCCCCCCCCCCCTCCCACTAGGCCTACTGCCCTCCCCAATCAAAACTTGAATTTCTCCAAAGCGCTGCTATTCAGAGCGTTCTTGTAGCAACAAAATAATCTCCGAGAGGTCGCCTAGTACATCAACCCGTCCTCCGTATATGAAAGTACTTAAAGTAACTATGTGGTCGAAATTATGGAGACTGTATGTATGAATGTAAGTATGGTGGAGAATGTCTGAGTCTCAGTCAGTCTAGCTGTCTGTCCAAAGCTGGAGGGCAGAGGCTAGGGGATAGTCTCACCCAAGTTTGCAGGGGTAATTAATGGTCAGGGAGACGGCACATAGGCTGGCTGGAGTAGGCGTATGTTAAATGCTTTAAGACATATGAGCCTGAAACCCTAAAACCCCCCCTCCCCAACCCACTCTCTCAGACGTCCTATATTCATAACATCTCACGATGTCTGCAAAGAAATTGTTGATACAATGTCGGTACACATAGCTTTATCGCTTGATCGAAAATGATTAACTCAATTTATTTGTGTTAGTGATCAAAATAGTGAATTGGGAAGATAGTGACGAAAACAGCTCAGAAAAATAACATAAATTTCTAGAGAAAGAGAGAGACACAGGCCCGGGCAATCCAGGGTACATACTCAAAAGGGCTGGTTGATGGGGTTCTGGGAGTTCTTCTACTCCCCAAGCCCGGCCCGAGGCCAGGCTTGACTTGTGAGTGTTTGGTCCACCAGGCTGTTGCTTGTAGCGGCCCGCAGGGCCACATACCCACCACAGCCCGGTTGGTCCGGCACTCCTTGAAGGAAACAATCTAGTTTCCTCTTGAAGATGTCCACGGTTGTTCCTGTAATATTTCTGATGCTCGCTGGTAGGACGTTGAACAACCGTGAACCTCTGATGTTCATACAGTGTTCTCTGATTGTGCCCATGACACCTCTGCAACTGGTTCTATTTCTGGTTCTATTCTACTTTTCTATTCTATTCTATTTCTATTTCTGGTTCTATTCTGCAACAGAGAATATTGCAAATCAGACACTAACTGGATTCTGTGATTTAACTGTTTAAAAATAAATTTAACTCAAAAAACTATTGTTTTGTTAGTGACTAGTGCCCCTAACTAGTGCCTTAAAATGACCCTCAACTGGAGTGAAGCTTAAACTAACACTAAGTTCACTCTCAAATTGGGATTAAGTTTTTAGTTTTTGTTTTGTTTTACAAGCTGAGTTTAGACGTAGTTCCTGATCCATTAATTTTATTTAACGTGAACTAAAAAAATTAAATTTTAGCAAGACTAAAGCCACACTTTTCGCGTGGGTCCGATTGGGAACATTTGAGAATGGAGTTGTGTGAGGGTCGAGTCCCGTAGCGCCCCCACCACCCACCCTGGATCGAAGCTTCCTTGGCCGCATGCCAGCCTCTATCCTGCCGCTGGTGGGGGCTTTCCTCGTCACACTCTATCCTGCCGCTGGTGGGGGCTTTCCTCGTCACACACTATCCTGCCGCTGATGGGGGCTTTCCTCGTCACACTCTATCCTGCTGCTAGTGGGGGCTTTCCTCGTCACACTATCCTGCCGCTGATGGGGGCTTTCCTCGTCACACTCTATCCTGCCGCTGGTGGGGGCTTTCCTCGTCACACTCTATCCTGCCGCTGGTGGAGGCTTTCCTCGTCACACACTATCCTGCCGCTGGTGGGGGCTTGCCCCGTCACACACTATCCTGCCGCTCGTGGGGGGGCTTTCCCCGTCACACTATCCTGCCGCTGGTAGGGGCTTTCCTCGTCACACACTATCCTGCCACTGGTGGGGGGGCTTTCCCCGTCACACTATCCTGCCGCTGGTGGGGGCTTTCCTCGTCACACTCTATCCTGCCGCTGGTGGGGGCTTTCCTCGTCACACACTATCCTGCCGCTGGTGGGGGCTTGCCCGCCAGACTCTATCCCATGAAAGACTGATAATCACAATATCCCGTTCAATATCTATCCCGCCGTTAAAAGAGGATTCCCCACCGCCATCCATGAAGGGATTACCAACCTTTTTATCAAGGCAAACCCCCTTAAATGGGATTCATAAAGAGGGAAATCCTATGCAAACGTTCCTATGGTATATAACACCATCCCCCCCCCCCCACACACACACACAGGCAGAGTGAATGACAGGTGATGGGGGGGAGGGTGTGTTTAGGGGGAGGGGGGAATGGGGGGGATGAGGAGCAAGAGAGACTATTCCGAGCACAACCGGGTCCCAGGAGCGTTGTCCTGGGTGTCCCAGGAATGTCACGCACAGCACAATACGAGCTACCCCTCATAACCTTGCCTTTGTCAGAGTTAAAGTCTAGTAGCCATTTCTTAGGCCAGCTCTGGAGATTGTCCAGCTCGCGTGGGCTGTATACCTTAAAGGCATTCAGATCCCCTCGTTCTGCTGACTCACGTCCACGACAGTTTAGTGTCCCACCACAGAACCTGGGCATTGGTCCAGGTGGCCAGCACACTGGACTTGTGATCCTGGGTTCGATCCTGGGCGCCGGAGAGAAACAATGGGCAGAGTTTCTTTCTCCCTGTGCTCCTGTTACCTAGCAGTAAAATAGGTACCTGGGTGTTAGTCAGCTGTCACGGGCTGCTTCCTAGGGGGTGGAGGCCTGGTCGAGGACCGGGCCGCGGGGACACTAAAAAGCCCCGAAATCATCTCAAGATAACCTCAAGATAGCCACTGTTTTCTATTATTCACAAGTACTGCCCCCCCCCCCCGTCCCTTCCTGTTCCTCCCGTCCCATATCTCACTCTCCACCCCTCTCACGATCCATATCTCACTTCCCTCACCTCTCTCCCTCCAATATCTCACTTCTCTCCCCCTTCCTTTATCAAAATTTTATGTCCCTCTTCCCTCCCACATCTCACACTACTGTTATCTGGCCTCCCATTCCACACGTCTCTTCCATCCAAACCCCCTCTTAACCGCCCTTTCCCCCCCTCCCCCCCCCCCACACAACCCCGACCTCTCCTCCACCTCTTCCCTTCGCTCTTTTCTTCCTTTACACAGTTCCCTCCCATCCTTCTCTCTCCCACCCTACTCTCTTCTTCCCTGTTCTCCCCCTCTTCCACTTCCCTGCTAGTCCGTAATCCCTGCCGTCTTACCCAGGCATCCTCACCTGGCCATCCTCACCTGGCCATCCTCGCCTGGCCATCCTCACCTGGCCATCCTCACCTGGCATCCTCGCCTGGCCATCCTCACCTGGCCATCCTCACCTGGCCATCCTCGCCTGGCCATCCTCACCTGGCCATCCTCGCCTGGCCATCCTCACCTGGCCATCCTCACCTGGCCATCCTCGCCTGGCCATCCTCACCTGGCCATCCTCACCTGGCCATCCTCGCCTGGCCATCCTCACCTGGCCATCCTCACCTGGCCATCCTCGCCTGGCCATCCTCACCTGGCCATCCTCACCTGGCCATCCTCACCTGGCCATCCTCGCCTGGCCATCCTCACCTGGCCATCCTCACCTGGCCATCCTCACCTGGCCATCCTCGCCTGGCCATCCTCACCTGGCCATCCTCACCTGGCCATCCTCGCCTGGCCATCCTCACCTGGCCATCCTCACCTGGCCATCCTCACCTGGCCATCCTCGCCTGGCCATCCTCGCCTGGCCATCCTCACCTGGCCATCCTCGCCTGGCCATCCTCACCTGGCCATCCTCACCTGGCCATCCTCGCCTGGCCATCCTCACCTGGCCATCCTCACCTGGCCATCCTCGCCTGGCCATCCTCACCTGGCCATCCTCGCCTGGCCATCCTCACCTGGCCATCCTCACCTGGCCATCCTCACCTGGCCATCCTCACCTGGCCATCCTCGCCTGGCCATCCTCGCCTGGCCATCCTCGCCTGGCCATCCTCACCTGGCCATCCTCACCTGGCCATCCTCACCTGGCTGGCTACCTTCACCATATAGGAAGGAAGAGAAGTGAGGAAAGGGAGGCGAAAGGTAACAGTAATGTGAGATGTGGGAGGGGAGGGGATAGAAATATATATATATATATATATATTATATATAAATAATATATATATGCTAACGCATATACCGGGTGGGTGAATATATCCTCCGTGGTATATTAGTGTGGGTCAGGCCTTGCTCTGGCAGGCGACAGTGTTGAAAATGCGCAGCAATTGCACCACTGGCCATTGCGCTCCCTGGAACAATTGCACCACTGGCCATTGCGCTCCCTGGAACAATTGCACCACTGGCCATTGCCCTCCCTGGAACAATTGCACCACTGGCCATTGCCCTCCCTGGAACAATTGTACCACTGGCCATTGCGCTCCCTGGAACAATAGCACCACTGGCCATTGCCCTCCCTGGAACAATTGTACCACTGGCCATTGCGCTCCCTGGAACAATAGCACCACTGGCCATTGCGCTCCCTGGAACAATTGCACCACTGGCCATTGCGCTCCCTGGAACAATTGCACCACTGGCCATTGCGCTCCCTGGAAAAATTGCACCACTGGCCATTGCGCTCGCTGGAACAATTGCACCACTGGCCATTGCGCTCGCTGGAACAATTGCACCACTGGCCATTGCGCTCCCTGGAACAATTGCACCACTGGCCATTGCGCTCGCTGGAACAATTGCACCACTGGCCATTGCGCTCCCTGGAAAAATTGCACCACTGGCCATTGTGCTCCCTGGAACAATTGCACCACTGGCCATTGCCCTCCCTGGAACAATTGCACCACTGGCCATTGCCCTCCCTGGAACAATTGTACCACTGGCCATTGCGCTCCCTGGAACAATTGCACCACTGGCCATTGCGCTCGCTGGAACAATTGCACCACTGGCCATTGCCCTCCCTGGAACAATTGTACCACTGGCCATTGCGCTCCCTGGAACAATTGCACCACTGGCCATTGCGCTCGCTGGAACAATTGCACCACTGGCCATTGCGCTCCCTGGAACAATTGCACCACTGGCCATTGCGCTCCCTGGAACAATTGGCCATTGCGCTCCCTGGAAAAATTGCACCACTGGCCATTGCCCTCCCTGGAACAATTGCACCACTGGCCATTGCGCTCCCTGGAAAAATTGCACCACTGGCCATTGCGCTCCCTGGAAAAATTGCACCACTGGCCATTGCCCTCCCTGGAAAAATTGCACCACTGGCCATTGCCCTCCCTGGAACAATTGCACCACTGGCCATTACGCTCGCCGGAACAAAATGCTTTTACTACCAGAACCGTATTTTTAATGTGGACGACATCATTGCAAGATTAATCATTGCCTGGAGAAACTGGTTCATTCGTAACTGATGAATAAACCACTAAAAACCTAACACAGGAAAACCAAATAATACTGCAGGACCATGCACAGTGCCAGTCACTGTGCATATAACCATGTTGGTTAACCATGCTACAAGTATCAAGGCACATCATACGCGGTTTCATCATACTGTGTGACAGTCAGGTATATTACTGGGTTTTGATGGACTGTGCCTGAAACTGTCATATTTATATTCACATTTAACGGTCAGTAATCATTTGCCTCCTGACATTCCTCTGAAGACGTAAACAAAATCATTAAATATGATTATGAATCTATAAGGAAATATAATATTGTCATGTAAATTCTTTTCTTTTTTTCACTGTGTTCCTTCTAGGTGACTGGTCAGTAGCCTCATCCTTCTCCTCTTCCTGGTCAGTAGCCTCATCCTTCTCCTCTTCCTGGTCAGTAGCCTCATCCTTCTCCTCTTCCTGGCCAGCAGCCTCATCCTTCTCCTCTTCCTGGCCAGTAGCCTCATCCTTCTCCTCTTCCTGGTCAGCAGCCTCATCCTTCTCCTCTTCCTGGCCAGTAGCCTCATCCTTCTCCTCTTCCTGGCCAGTAGCCTCATCCTTCTCCTCTTTCTGGTCAGTAGCCTCATCCTTCTCCTCTTCCTGGCCAGTAGCCTCATCCTTCTCCTCTTCCTGGCCAGTAGCCTCATCCTTCTCCTCTTCCTGGCCAGTAGCCTCATCCTTCTCCTCTTCCTGGCCAGTAGCCTCATCCTTCTCCTCTTCCTGGCCAGTAGCCTCATCCTTCTCCTCTTCCTGGTCAGTAGCCTCATCCTTCTCCTCTTCCTGGCCAGTAGCCTCATCCTTCTCCTCTTCCTGGCCAGTAGCCTCATCCTTCTCCTCTTCCTGGCCAGTAGCCTCATCCTTCTCCTCTTCGTGGTCAGTAGCCTCATCCTTCTCCTCTTCGTGGTCAGTAGCCTCATCCTTCTCCTCTTCCTGGCCAGCAGCCTCATCCTTCTCCTCTTCCTGGCCAGTAGCCTCATCCTTCTCATCCTTCTCTTCCTGGCCAGAAGCCTCATCCTTCTCTTCCTGGCCAGTAGCCTCATCCTTCTCCTCTTCCTGGCCAGTAGCCTCATCCTTCTTCTCCTCCTGGCCAGAAGCCTCATCCTTCTCTTCCTGGCCAGTAGCCTCATCCTTCTCCTCCTCCTGGCCAGAAGCCTCATCCTTCTCTTCCTGGTCAGCAGCCTCATCCTTCTCTTCCTGGCCAGTAGCCTCATCCTTCTCCTCCTCCTGGCCAGAAGCCTCATCCTTCTCCTCTTCCTGGTCAGTAGCCTCATCCTTCTCCTCTTCCTGGCCAGAAGCCTCATCCTTCTCCTCTTCCTGGCCAGAAGCCTCATCCTTCTCCTCTTCCTGGTCAGCAGCCTCATCCTTCTCTTCCTGGCCAGTAGCCTCATCCTTCTCCTCTTCCTGGCCAGTAGCCTCATCCTTCTCTTCCTGGCCAGTAGCCTCATCCTTCTCCTCCTCCTGGCCAGTAGCCTCATCCTTCTCTTCCTGGCCAGTAGCCTCATCCTTCTCCTCTTCCTGGTCAGTAGCCTCATCCTTCTCCTCTTCCTGGCCAGTAGCCTCATCCTTCTCCTCTTCCTGGCCAGCAGCCTCATCCTTCTCCTCTTCCTGGCCAGAAGCCTCATCCTTCTCCTCTTCCTGGTCAGTAGCCTCATCCTTCTCCTCTTCCTGGCCAGCAGCCTCATCCTTCTCCTCTTCCTGGTCAGTAGCCTCATCCTTCTCCTCTTCCTGGCCAGCAGCCTCATCCTTCTCTTCCTGGCCAGCAGCCTCATCCTTCTCCTCTTCCTGGCCAGCAGCCTCATCCTTCTCCTTTTCCTGGTCAGTACCTCATCCTTCTCCTCTTCCTGGCCAGCAGCCTCACCCTTCTCCTCTTCCTGGCCAGCAGCCTCGTCCTTCTCCTCTTCCTGGCCAGCAGCCTCATCCTTCTCCTCTTCCTGGCCAGCAGCCTCATCCTTCTCCTCCTCCTGGCCAGTAGCCTCATCCTTCTCCTCTTCCTGGTCAGTAGCCTCATCCTTCTCCTCTTCCTGGCCAGCAGCCTCATCCTTCTCCTCTTCCTGGTCAGCAGCCTCATCCTTCTCTTCCTGGCCAGCAGCCTCATCCTTCTCCTCTTCCTGGTCAGCAGCCTCATCCTTCTCCTCTTCCTGGCCAGCAGCCTCATCCTTCTCCTCTTCCTGGCCAGCAGCCTCATCCTTCTCCTCTTCCTGGTCAGCAGCCTCATCCTTCTCCTCTTCCTGGTCAGCAGCCTCATCCTTCTCCTCTTCCTGGCCAGCAGCCTCATCCTTCTCCTCCTGGCCAGTAGCCTCATCCTTCTCCTCTTCCTGGTCAGTAGCCTCATCATTCTAATCTTCCTGGCCAGTAGCCTCATCCTTCTCCTCTTCCTGGCCAGTAGCCTCATCATTCTCCTCTTCCTGGCCAGTAGCCTCATCCTTCTCCTCTTTCTGGCCAGTAGCCTCATCATTCTCCTCTTTCTGGCCAGTAGCCTCATCATTCTAATCTTCCCTTTTCAGGCGTTGAATGATTTAATCCCGGTGCCTGGCTAAATGCCTGAAACGCAGATTCCAATCCAATTACATGTAATTACCATAGTATTATAAGGAAATAATAATGGATGCTTAGCAAAGGCTACATTGAATGTTGATAAGAATACAAAATGTAAACATGCTAGTAAAAAGATAATTAAAGAATATTTATACTTCTTGAGGTTATCTTGAGATGATTTCGGGGCTTTAGTGTCCCCGCGGCCCGGTCCTCGACCAGACCTCCACCCCCAGGAAGCAGCCCGTGACAGCTGACTAACACCCATGTACCTACTTTACTGCTAGGTAACAGGGGCATAGGGTGAAAGAAACTTTGCCCATTGTTTCTCGCCGGCGCCTGGGATCGAACCCAGGACCACAGGATCACAAATCCAGTGTGCTGTCCGCTCGGCCGACCGGCTCCCTACTGATAGCTATATTATAACATGCTAATTATTGAAGTCAAAACAGAATAAATTAAGCCATTTTAATTTGTGTGGGAATTGGCAAAGGAAATCATTTCAACTTGGAACCAACGAAGGCACAATTAATTATAATTGAGACGTAAGAGTGAATAGTTACGTGTATTCATGTTTCGTAAAGAATAATGTTGCCAGCATTTTGCCTGTTTCAGTTTAACAATAACAATGTTTTTAGCATTTGAATGTTCCAGTGAATGTGCACAAAGGATTGTCCTTTCATTGCATTGGAAATAGAAAAAAAGAAAATGTAGATCTTGACTAATGTGACTGCCTACCATCTTCTTCACTGAGGTTTAGAGTCCATGAGATTATAGCCTGTGTTGTTGTTTGGTAATTCGTAAGGATGACAATTAAACAATAGGTGCCGCTGGCACACACACCAGTAATGTATATAAATAAACTCCAAATCTAAATACATTTGATCTCTGAAAATGCCAATTGTTTCAAGAAATCGAAAGCTGTATAGATCTCTAATATGAAGAAGCCTTAAATGTTGATAGGATTCGAGACTTAAAGTATTCCCTGGAAACACAAACCGAAACTATCTCCATTTTCCGCTTGTTACAACTTGTAATAAAGTTGTTACATCTTGGGTTAACGTGTTTATGACGTATTAGAACGTTGTTACAACTTGCTATATTGGTTATTATAACTGGTTAGGAGGTGTTAAAACTTGTTCGAACGTTGTACCAACGTCGTAGTTTCGGTGTGTGTTTGGCGGGTTGAACAATATGGAGAATATTAATCCAGTCCATTTTTACAAAAGGTCAGATATAACAAAGAATAGGAACAATGGATTCGAGTTCAACAAGCCACAATGTAGGAGAGTAAACAGATGTTTTTTCATCTATAAGTATATAAACACGTGGAACCGCCTACCAGCCGAAGCCGTAAATACCGAAATATAAAATCCAGCTTGAAAAATAATCAGGACAAATAGGGGTGTACCTTTGACGAGCAGCGTTCTTCCTGTCCTCGTCGAGGCCACTAGAGTGCTACTGGCCCTCAGGTAAATCAGGTATAGCTTTTACCCAAAACGTTCAGGCTTTCTCTTCAACGTTGTTGGTGAAACAGACGATGACGGAACGTATTATGTGTCCATTAGTTTTAAACGTTTTACGAAGTATATAACTATTTTTTGTTAAACGTTTATCATACATTAGTGTATTTTGTTAAACGTTTATCATACATTAGTGTATTTTGTTAAACGTTTATCATACATTAGTGTATTTTGTTAAACGTTTATCATACATTAGTGTATTTGTTAAACGTTTATCATACATTAGTGTATTTGTTAAACGTTTATCATACAGTAGTGTATTTGTTAAACGTTTATCATACAGTAGTGTATTTGTTAAACGTTTATCATACAGTAGTGTATTTGTTAAACGTTTATCATACATTAGTGTATTGGTTAAACGTTTATCATACAGTAGTGTATTTTATTAAACGTTTATCATCTTGAGGTTATCTTGAGATGATTTCGGGGCTTTAGTGTCCCCGCGGCCCGGTCCTCGACCAGGCCTCCACCCCCCAGGAAGCAGCCCGTGACAGCTGACTAACACCCAGGTACCTATTTTACTGCTAGGTAACAGGGGCATAGGGTGAAAGAAACTTTTGCCCATTGTTTCTCGCCGGCGCCTGGGATCGAACCCAGGACCACAGGATCACAAGTCCAGCGTGCTGTCCGCTCGGCCGTTTTATTAAACGTTTATCATACATTAGTGTATCTTATTAAACGTTTATCATACATTAGTGTATTTTCAGTATACGATA